CGTCTATCCCCCTTCTAAGAGTGGCTGCTACCTCTCAGAAGGCGGACGATGGACGGGGCTGTGAAGGCATCACCGCCACGCGCATGCGCAGTGTCGACCGGGGTTGTCAACCTGGGGTACCACCGTGTTCATACACTAGAGGGCCCCATAACACAACAAATAAAGAAACAGAGGGCAGACGACAGGGATGTGACATCTCCACTCGCTTTGAGAAGAGAAAAATGGAGGATGCTCACAGATTCTGCTTGGGTTTTCAAGACAATAGCACAGGGTTACAGACTCCAATTCGCTGTCACCCCCCCTCACTTTTCGGGCATTCTACATTCGCAAGCCCGGGGAGAGTCGGCCCATATTCTGGAGCAAGAGATTCTCTCGCTACTAGACAAGAAGGCTATATCTATAATACCCTCCGAACAGAGTCAGAGCGGCTTTTATTCCAAGTATTTCCTCGTTCCCAAACGGGGAGGGAACGGGATTCGGCCTATACTAGATTTGAGGGCTCTGAACAAATATCTCAAAAGATACAAATTCAGAATGCTCACACACATCTCTGTTGCGTCTTGTGCGCCAAAAAGATTGGTTCACATCAGTCGACCTGAAAGACGCGTATTTCCACATCCCAGTATATTATCCACACAGGAAATATCTGAGGTTCGCCTTTCAGGGTGTCTGTTACGAGTACAGAGTACTTCCCTTCGGTCTGTCTCTCAGCCCACGAGTGTTTGTACGGTGTACGGAAGCCGCGATAGCCCCGTTAAGACAACAGGGTATTCGCCTGGCAACTTATCTGGACGATTGGCTCCTTCTCGCACAGTCGGAGCAAGAGGCTATTATGCAGACGAATGTCCTCGTAAAACACCTGCTCGACCTGGGTTTCATAATAAACACAGAAAAGAGCATGTTGTCCCAGCCCAGACTGTACTCTTCCTGGGCCTACGCCTGAATTTGGTGCTCTTTACAGCCCGCCTGTCAGCAGAGAGAGTGAAAGCCTTCAGGGCTTGCCTCGCTCATTTCCAGCCACGCAAATATGTTCTCTTCAGATCATGTCTGCGGTTACTGGGGCTCATGGCGTCAGCCATCCTGGTGGACGACTGGGACGCTTACACATGAGGGAGTTTCAGCGCTGGGTAGCTGCCCTCAGACTGGACCCCGTGCGTCATGGCGCGCGGAGAGTGATGGTCACTATGAAATGCATAATGGCACTGCGCCACTGGCTGCACCCGACTTTTCTAGTACGGCGCGTGCCTATGGGTGCTGTCCTATCGCGGAAGGTGGTCACCACAGACGCATGTCTGACGGGCTGGGGGGGGTATATACGAAGGTCAACCTGTGAGGGGTCTCTGGAGCAGAGACCTCCAACGGTCACACATAAATTATCTAGAGCTTTTAGTGGTGTTCCTCACCCTGAAACGCTTTCTGCCTTTTCTCAGAGGACATCATGTCCTCGTGAGGACAGACAACACGACCACAATATCGTATATAAACCGCCAAGGGGGTTTGCGTTCTCTCCAGTTACACATGCTGGCACGCAAACTGATCTTATGGAGCTGCGGATGTCTCCTCTCTCTGAGAGTGACGCACGTACCAGGAGTGATGAACCTCGGGGCAGATCTGCTGTCCAAAGGTGCACCACTATATGCAGACTGGACTCTACATCCAATAATTGTGAGTCAGCTGTGGGTGCGTTACGGCCGGGCCGCGGTGGATCTGTTCGCATCAAAAGAAAACGCTCAATGTCAGCTGTTCTTTTCAATGCGCGATTTAAAACGCACCGTTAGGCGTGGACGCGCTCGCACACGTTTAGCCTCCGGTCCTTCTGTACGCGTTCCCACCCCTGGCTCTGATACCCCAAACTCTGGCCAGAGTGAGAGAACAACGCCACACACTAATCCTAATAGCTCCACACTGGCCTGCAATGTACTGGCTGGCTGAGATATATCAGCTGCTGTGCGGGCAGTCGTGGCAGCTCCCGCTACGCAGAGACATACTGTCTCAGGCGGGGGGGACGATTTTTCACCCACACCCAGAGCGCTTGGCACTATGGGCCTGGCCCGTGAGTGGTATAACCTGAATACAGTGGGACTCCCTCAGAAGGTGATAAACACTATTCAGAGTGCAAGAGCTTCCTCCACCAGGTCCCTCTATGACTGTAAGTGGAGGGTGTTTGAGGAGTGGTGCCTTCAAAAAGGGACACATCTCTTTTCAATGTCCTGTCGGGGTGATTCTATCATTTCTACAGGACCTGATTGATAAACACAGAGCTTTCTCTACGATCAAAGTGTACCTGGCTGCTATTGCTGCATGTCATGTGGGCTTTGAGGGAAAGACGGCTAGCCAACATCCCTTGGTCTGCTGTTTTATGAAAGGGGCTCGCAGGCTCCTCCCTGTTTCCATGTTTCCAGGTCACTGGGACTTGGCAGTGGTTTTAGATGGGCTCACTCGACCTCCATTTGAACCCCTGGAAGAAGCTGACATGAAACACCTGTCACTGAAGACAGTGTTGTTACTGGCTATGGCATCTGCCAAGGGAGTCAGTGACATTCATGCGCTCTCTGTACATCCTTCATGCACTCAGTTTGCCCCGGGGCAAACGACAGTGTTGCTGAAGCCCAACCCTGCCTTTGTACCTAAGGTGGTTGGCTCATGTACCCCCATTGACATTGAGGCATTTCCTCCGAGGAACAGCGGCCGAATTTACTGTGCCCAGTCTGTGCTTTACGCACCTATATGGACAGGTCAAAAGAGTTTCGATGCAATGACCAACTCTTTGTATCCTGGGCTAACCCTCATAAGGGCAAGCCCGTTACCAGGCAACGGCTCTCCCACTGGATTGTGGAAGCGATTGCTCTGGCTTATACGAGTCAGGGTTTGCAGGCACCAACGGGCCTGCGTGCTCATTCTACTCGTGGACTGGCTACATCCTGGGATTTGTTCAAGGGTGTTTCCATCCAAGACATTTGTGCAGCAGCGAGCTGGTCCTCACCGCTCACTTTTGTCCGCTTTTACAGGCTAGATGTCTCTGCTCCAAGTGTTGCCCGCGCAGTGCCCCGTGTTGAGACAGGGTTCTACCTGTTAAGTTCTGGTTGTTTTGGTGATTTTCGAGATAAGCATGTCTAGCAATACGGGAGTTTCAATATCCCATAGTGAGACATCGAACGGAGTGTTATGAATGAGAACTGGGGTTCCCGCACTCTCGCGGGAATATCCCCGTAATGGAGCGAGTTTAAGTTTCACTTTCGATTGCATGAGCGCAACACCTTCGTCAAACATGTTGCCACTGGTTTGTACCATTTTCAGGCGATTTGTAATAAAAAGACAACGATGTGTCTTAGGATTTCAAGAAGCATATAGAACAAACAATGGATGTATTTTATGAACATTTATCCATGCTGAAAGTAGATTTAGATGTGTTAGGAGTGAGATAGAGATTATTATCTAATATATGCATCCGATGAAGCATTGCATGAAGTCTGTTGATGATCAGAGGCTGTTGTTGGGGCTGCATAAAGTTTTTTTATTTTGTAGGCAGACCATGCAGGGCTCAAGAGAGTTAAACTTGGGCTTGCGACCAGTTTTACTGTATTTTGTTTTGAAAATCCACAGTGGAGGTTTGTGTCGTACTACATGCGGTGTATTTTGCATATCTCTCAGTAGCCAACGATCTGTGAGTCTGTTGGCTTGGACATAAACTCCGTAATAAATGTAGTCTACATTTCATAACAGGTGTAAAACCTGAGAGCATTTTAAATCGCATTTGAACTAAATGCTTATATAATCTGTAGCTGTATTTGTATTGTTGATTTATTGTGTCAACGAGGCGATGTAGAGAAGGTTAAGCTGTCATTATTAGGCTGTTATGTACTGTTGGAGTGGTAAGCAGGACTATTGTTTTAGGATATTTGTGGAGTTCGATGGTCCGTGAGTGTTTTTTTATTGGTTAAGTGGTCCTTGGTATGAAAATGTTTGAGAAACACTGCGCTTGTGGATTGTCAACGGGGGGAGCCTCGCTGCGGAGAAATTATACAGATGGCTAGTCCGCCCCTGAACATTTTTTTGTAATCATCTCGCGACCCCCACTCGGGGTCTCTCGAGTCGCGACCTCCACTTTGGGAACCCCTGCTCTAGGAGGAGATTCAGGTGATAAGGTGGGGGTGTTACCTTGGTTGGTGATTGGCTAATGGTTACACAAGCCTAAAAAACGTTATGACATCATAAAGTGGCCAACATCTGATCAGCTCATTTTCAGACAGGTTTTTATATAAATGGATCAGGACAAAAAGAGAGAGAATCTTTTTTTCTGAAACTTTCAGAATCTCTTTACACGGAGGGGACACATGGGTATGTATAAAATACATGAAAACGTGGATTTTGCATAACAGGCGACCTTTAAGTTTACTACTCCATGTAACGTACATTATATTGATGAAAATATTGCCTCTCTTACAGTCATGCAAAATTGTTGCCTTGACCTAAAATCAGTAAAATTAGCAGTGAATACTCCCATTCCCTTGGCAGTGTGTGACATATCGACCCAAACACACTCTTCTCTCTCAGTCGTACTAAGGAATGACTGAGTTACTGTAGGCCTGCGTGCAACTATGTCCCGTAATGATTAACTAACGTTCGAGGAAATGTCCATAACTGTGAACTGTGCTGCTGAGCTTTACAGTGCAGTTAATCATTAACCAACACTGCATAACACCCCCGCTGCTGAGACATGAGAACAAAACAACACCTTTAACCCAACAGACCTACAAACAAACATCACATAATGAAATGTTTTCTAAAGTTTTGAGCAAGTTCTCACACAAATGTGTTCAAACACATTAGTTTGATATAAGTAATGCATTGTATAATGACTTTTAGAGCTTATTGTTGTTAATATACTGGAAATTATAACTTTGAAGGACAGTAAATATCCAAACGCAAGGACACATGCTTGTGTAATAGATGACCTGCAGATAAAGAAAAGGAGCCCTGTTCAGTCCTCAACCCCTCACCTGGTCGGCCTCCTGGCTGCTCCTCAGTGTACAGCTCTTCCTCCTCTCTGATGGACCATTGATCTCTGCAGCGTGGCCCCCCCTCCAAACATCCCCTTGAGGGCCCCGGCCACTAGAGAGAGATATGAGTGTTTCCCTTTGTGTGTTTCTGATCATGAAAACATTCAGGTGGTCTAAACATGATGTTATGCTATAGCTGATTTTTCCTAACCATGCAATCTATATTTCGTCATACTTTTTCTATCAAACTATGTTTAACGAGTCCTGTTGGTATTATAATTAAACCTCTATGCATTATTAGCTACTGTTTACTATAGGATAATATAGATAAGTTATATTATTATTTGCTTAAGTGGTATTGTACTTGCATAACATTTTTTAAATAATTGAGGCACAGATCAGACCACAGTCTACTTACCCTGGACATGGACTTTTGGCCCCGTGCTTTTTCTTGTGTCCCTGAGCATACAGTTCTAGATCTGAGAGAAAAATCAAAAGACACAATTGTGAATCACATTTTTTAACAGTGACAAAATTGAAGATATAGAATATATTAACTGATGCTTGAGGACATAGAAAATGATAAGTCATATGAGAAACATTAGCTCTTGTAAAAAGAGAACCCAATCAAACCTTTACATAGTCAAGTCATACCATACCAAGGTATGGTCAATGCTGTAGATACATATTTCACATTTACTTAAAAAGAAATGCGTGTGATCGGTAAGGAAAAATATGTATACTTTCTAAATAAGTCACAGAAGTCCTTTTCAAATGTATTCCTTTTATTTCTGATAGGATATTACTATTAGTAGGCAAAAACTCCTGAAATTATTACTATTATTATATATTAATTATTATTATTATATATTATTATATACTATTATTATTATTACTATTCCCATCAGCGTGGTATCGATTTACTGTTATAGCTTCTGCCAGAGAGCACATTTCTTTTTAAATGTACATGTAAAATGTGTTTGTTTTTCTATTACACAATTGCGTTAAGGTTAAATGAAAGTGCTTGTTTAAAGCAGAATATCATAAATCTAACACACAAACACACACATAAGATGATCTAACACTAATAATTGCAGTATGAGGCACGTCAGGTCTGTGGTTACTGCTGCTGAGCTGAACTCCAGCACGTGATCGGGCAAATATAGCCGTGAAACATGAGGATTTGAACCAGCCTTCCCAAATGAGCTCCAAAAATAAACGCTAGTTAGCTTTTCATGTTTACTGTGTAGCCGTAGCTCAGACTGCAGCCCTGGTTATTGGGCTGTTCCTTTGTATGTCACTGATTATCCATGCTCCTATGCATTTATTTTATCCTCTTTGCTAATCTCTGCAGCCCGCTTCAACTCTCCGCAGAAAATAAACATTGGTCTGAAAACATCACTGTGGGAAATGACTGAAATATTTAAATAAAGAAATAAAAAAAGTAGCTCCCACCTTCCTCCTGACTGGAGGCATCAGAACAGTCTCCCTGGTAGGCCTTACCCAACTGGCAGTTACCTATGAATACAAAGATACATTGGTAAAAATAACATAGCATTACAAAAATGACTTTACTTTAGTTGAACTCAGTAACAGGTTTCCAACAGGATAAGAACTATTTAGATTGATGCAAGATGATTTAATAATATTGCAGAAATAAATAAAAAATACAGAAACCCCAAAACCTTTCCGTGCCTTTGTTTCATATATTTGATTGTAATAAGAGGCATAATACTAAAGTAATGTCCTTGTTGGCAATTCTAAAATGGGTGTGGGTGCAAGCAACGTGTACTGATTATTAAAGCAATTTAAAACATGACAAACTACTGACTAAGTTGATATTTAAAAAATGTCAAATAGCAAAATCATGCTTTGGTCAGCTTGGTCTGGAATGCAGTTAAAAGTGCAGTTTCACGCACATCTTTATCATCTAAGAATCCCGCCTATATTAACTAGGTACTATCGGCAGTGAAAATACAAAATCTCAAAACGTGCCAAGGACCAAAATGGAGTCGTGACCCCACACTCTGCACTCATAATTGTTCTTCCTTCGTACCGGAGGTTAGTTGTCCCAAAGTGTTAAACGTTAGCCTATGTATTTATTAACTTCGAATGCCCATGTTTGTACTATTGATTTTGAAATGTTTTTAGATGTGACTGAGCAGGGTGTACTTTCATTAGAGGTGTGTCCATATTGTTTTCAGACTGTGTGTCAGGATGGATCTCTTGTCTTTTTATCTGCAAACTAAATCTACCTATGACTTTCTAATAAATAACCATGAGAACAGTAACAGAAGGCATTCGTCTCATACTCACATCTGCAGCAGGTCGGTTTTGTAGAGTAACTGGAGTCACAGTTGAAGAAGCTGCACACCTTCCTGGTCTGTCTGAAGACTGGAGGCGCAGACAGGAACTTTTCCCTGAAGGCAGGCACAGGGGAAGAGACACCTATCGTTAGGTTTTTCTCAGGAGACATTAAACATGATGCAGCAAAACATCTACAAGCAGCTGAGCAAAGGTATACTCAAATCCTACACCCACGTATGTAGCATTATCAAAAATGTTTTATGCGTTTCCTTTAAACATGCATCTCCTTGTTACAAAAAAGTGTAGCGTCTGAAAGAAATGTCAATATCTGAAACTTAAGGCCCATTTGAGGATACAATAAAAACATTTTTTTTTAAAAACTGAAAACATAAGAAGATGACAAATACATATTTTCACAGTTTGAGTTTTGTCTGGCTTTGCTCAATCCAAAAGACATACCTGAAATGACAAATAAGTGCTTATGAAAATAAAGTTGCGCACATGTAGAAGTATCTTGTACTGCCAGCATTACGGTAATTAAATGAATAAAGCAAAAAGCTTCCTGTGGAAAAAGAGGGGTGGAGGGCTGGGCTACTGATGAAAAGCTTGAGTTCCTGCTGATAAGTTTCACTTTCCACTGAGTCACTTCACAGAAAATGAAACTGATGGACACAAACGTGTTTGTCCACTAGTTCAGTGTGTGCGCGTGTGAAGTCTCTGGACTTGCACATGCTGTTCTAAAGAAAAGCAATAGAAAAAAGCAGATACATTTTTTTTCAAACTGCATTGCCCTATTCACAATTCAAAATAAATATGCCTCACATTTCATCAGGTTAGTCATCTGAAAAACACTAAAGGCAAATGTATATATTTTCAGCAGTCGCAGCAATTCCCCCCTTATTTGACAAATTGGGTTTATATCTGGGTTTAATGTACCTGAGGTTGTTCTCCACCTCTATGCTCTCGTTCCGCTCCCCCTGGCTCAGAAGTCTCAGGATGCTTTTCTCAAAAGACTCAGTACTCTGATCCTTAGGGAGCTGCTGGGAGAAAACAATGCAGGATAAACAAGGAGTGTGTGTTGGGCTACAAGTTACAGTGAAGGCAACAGTAGCAGCATGGAAAGAAAATGACATCATCATATCTGAAATGTATCTAACAAAAGACAATGACATTAAAAATAACATTAAATAAAATGTGAAATCTTAAAAACGTGACATAAATCCTATACAATGTTTGTAAGTGAAAAGTGACATTATTTGATAAACTTGGCATTAAATAAAAATGACAACAATGTCATAAAAACAGTAAGTTTACAAATTCTGATGAGTTGGGTTACTTTTGTTTAATTTCTTTATTGATAACATTTACATTATGTATTTATAGATATATTCATTTAATATTTATTCTATATATATATATATCTATATATATCTATCTTGGAAATGCTTATGTAACACATAATAAGCAGCATAAACCCTGAATATACTCGAAGTATAACTAAGTGTGTTAAATGTTGGCATAAAGGTCGTAGGGTACTGAATTTGTGAAAAATGACAAAAATGGATACCTTAAGAAGGAAATTCTCCAGTTCCAGATGGGTTTTGGTCACACTACTAGAAGAAGAGTCTGACCACTTCACCTGGAACACATCAGAGGACATTCTCTATCACAACACTGCGAAGGAAATAGGGCTATGCATGCTAGCACTTCACAGTACAGTCAAAAGTAAAACACATACACCCGAGTACACACCCAAGTACAAACAGACAGTGTTACACCATATTGATTTAAGGAATCTATTTTAAGGGTCATGCATAAGCTGAAATTTAAGACAACCGACATACAACTCACAAACCAAAATGACTCAAACAAACAAAACAAAAAAAGTGCTAAGGGAAAAAATACAGAGCAGGTCGACTCCCAACCCAAGTCTACACAAACATGTCTTAATCTCCCTCTATAATCACATAGATAGAGCAATAGTTACACCCATTCCTAATGTGCTATAGTTATGCGATGATGAGATATAAACCTGTACTTTCCCAGAAATATTCTCATTTATTTGGGACTTTCTATTCTGGTTTTCTACAAAAAGCATGCTTTACACAGCATCTTAATCAATAATGTATCACACAAATGATGCCACTATGACTCAATATATGCAACAACTGTAGGAATGCATTAGTGTCTATCCATTACAACCAGATTCATTCATAATAAAGATGAGTGAGATGAGGCAGGCTGTATTTATAACAAATGCTAAGGCATACCGTTTGCTATTGAAACTGGAATGGTTTTGCCTATGGATTGTGGTATTGTGTTAATGTTTATGTGCAAGAAATGGTAAGTGTCAGATTGGCCTTGAATTAAGTTGGTAATTAGAATCGGTACTAAAAAAGCTTGACAAGACGATCCCTATAGCACCACGGAACAGTATTATTATCAATAGATTATCTATACATTTATTATACTACATGATGAAGACACATCTCTGGTACATTATAAACACATGTGTTACTATGTGTATCATTGTGTCTCTGTCCAGCACAAACAGATGGTGTGAGGAGGACGCTTGACTGCCGCAGCTCAGTCAGGCCAACAGGATAGTCTCTCCATCTGTCATAATGATTTATTGTTCCTTTAATTGAGCAATAAATACTCCCATGGGTTCATGTGAATCTGTATTTGGATGGCATTCATTCTTGAGTGAACAGGCTCATTAGCAGTGATGAGCTGCCTCGCTAGAGATTAAGAGTTTGGGATTAGTTTGATGCAAGGGGCAATTGCGAGAGAAATTACTAGAGATTTGCCCAACATGACCTTACTTTCTGGCACTGGGCACCATAGGATGCCAGAGAAAAAGAGTAGCAGACCACTTTCGGATAGCAAAAACTAGCATAACAAGGATATTCATTGTGAGATAAATGTGGAAAATGGTGTCCATTTGTGCCTCAATGAGCTGAGTGCACACATGAGTGTCACAGTCTTGTTGCAAACGTAAGATGACATGGTTAAACACAGTACAACACTAAAACAATTCCACCAGACGTATTACCCTGAAGCAGTGCGGCGTGTGTATGCAGTGTTGTTACCTACCTCAAAGTTGTATTCCTTGTCTATTCGGGTGTGAGTGATGTCCCTGAGCACAATTCCCTCTATATGCACTGCTGCAAAACAGAGAGGAGGAACAAACCATTATGAATCACTCCGACAAGTTCACTAGGAGAGTAATACGTTGGAGCAATATAGCTATTAGGCCTTCAAAAATCTCGACTTTACAAACACAATAGACCTCTGCAGTTATCATTCACTACAGCACTTACTAAGAATCCATCAGTCCTTTCTAGGCGCCCCGACAATTTACCTCTTGCAAAGCGATTTAAAAAATACTGAAAAAGTGAAGGGGCTGTACAATTTATATAGCAATTGCTGCTGTAGAAGAAAATCATATAAATCATTACAGGGACAAATAAAGAGAAAATACAAAAAACCGAAATGAATGTAATGTAAAAATTCAGGCTAGCGTAACAGAATTCGCTGCTTCATTGAAGTAACCTTAGCGTTTGGCAGGTATGTGTTCCCATTACATTACTGCTTTGTCAAATGATTATTATCACCTTCTCTTTGTGTTGCCCAGCGGCTGGAGCGACGGCTCTGGCAGGGAGGATGGGCTGCAGTACAATCCCCCAAACCCAGCGCTGGGGAAGGCAGGTAATCCGTCTTCTGACTCGTCAGCTCCTAGAGACAGAAATACACTGAGTTAGTATCTGGCTCTTACTGGTTTGTTACCATTTTAACCTTCAGTTACAGCATGACTAGTTATAAATGCATCTCTAAGGTTCCATATTTAGATTGCATAAAAACCAACCACCAAGATGAACCAGTTATTTGTTATCCAGAGTTACACATTGTTATGTTTAAGGGTGCATTCACACCTAATAGTCCGTTCTCTGGTGCGCACCAGACCACAGTTTGTTACATTGTTTCATTTTTCAGAAGGTTCGGTTTGCGTTCACACGGGCAAAACTCAAACGGACTATAAACTTTAAACACAAGTCATGTGCACGGAAATGCTGTTCAACCATTGGTGAGACATTAAGGGGGTAAAAATGCAAATCCCGGCAATTTAAACCGGAGCATCCGCCATGGAGCATCGGCACTTTCGGCAGGTTATTCTCATGCTGCTGTTAATCTGGAGATCAACAGACACTAGCGGCCCGCGCATATGATTATATAATCAGACAACGTCCGTTAAAAAACATTATAACTAGGGATGCTCCGATCGATCGGTCACCGATCGATATCGGCCGATACTCACTCTCGATCGATCGGTGCTCTCTAAACATGCCGATCGCGATAGCCGATCGCATGACGTAAAATACATGACACTTTTCTCTGTGTGCGGCAAAACAAGCTCGCCAAAATGTCTTCACCGGTCTGGCATTATTTTAAGGTGTCCGAAAAAGACAGTAAAATAGCGGTATGCAACGTGTGTGTGAAGCAGAAATCCTGCAGCTCCGCCCGCCGGACCGGTAAGCGGAGCGAAACACACAAGAGTTAGACCTAACACACCTAGCTATTTTATCTACCTCTGGAACAAGCTAAACTAGTTATTATAGATCAGTGAGCTGCATGAGATACTGACAGGCTGTCAGGAGAGGGAGAGAGGGGGAGAGAGAGAGGGAGAGAGGAAAAGAGAGCGCTTCCGCTCATTTCTCCCGTGTTATTATCCAAAGTGAATGTAAACTTGAATAATGTACATCATTTGAATGTAATAATTAAGTTGATTGTTGTTTGTGGAAGCTCCACAGAATGAGCCCCATTAACTGAGTTTAAACATCACTTTTAATGGAAGATTTAAAGTGATGTTTAAATCTTCCATTTAGGCCCCGCCCACTTGATCGGATTGGCGATCGGTATCGGCCGATACTGATTCCGGCGATCGGCCCCGAAATTGGCAATCGGAGCATCCCTAATTATAACATAATGAGACACGTTCTGCAGTAAGGAGGGGCGTTTCACCGACGACAGGTGTTCTTCATTTTATGTAGCCTAGCTGACGGAGAATTTTGACTTTACACGACACTGTTCAACACTTCATTCTTCACTCTTTAAATAAACAACCGCGGATGTCTTGAAAGACTCTTTCACTAAAGATTTTTGAAGATATCCGCGTTCTTGTGACACGTAAATACTACGCTTCCAATGTTTTGGTGCGGATTGCGTTCACACCAGCAATGAACCGCTCCAGAGTTCGCAAGCAAGCGCTCCGAGACCACCTATTTTAGCGGACCAGAGTCCAGTTGTTTAGTTCATTTAAGAGGTCTCGGATTGTGTTCACACCGGGCCCGGCGCCACGAGGGGGCAAAAGGGGGCATTGCCCCCTCAGTTGTATCCTTTGCCCCCTCACTTTGAGCATCATTCATCCATCAAAAAGTACAATAAATGTCACAATTATTAAATAACTTTAAATAATTATTTTCCCCAATACACGTTACTATGTTTAGATCAGATATGTGGGCAGGCAGTCAACCAACGTGTAAAAAAGCCTCAACCCCAAGTGAGCTTGTAGTCTTAATGTTAGCGTGTGTGCTTAGCTGTAAACACAGTCGGATGGGTGACCAAAACGTCACCGTTTTCCGGGCAGAGTCCCCGTTTTCGGTGGCTGGTACCCGGTTGAAACTCCCGAAAATGTTCCCGTTTTTGAACGTGCGTTAAAAAAAATAGAGCAAGGTGAAATCAAATGTTACATGTCAGCAAAAACAGAATAACAGTGTTGTGCCTGTTTGTAGCGTTAGCGTATTTCTTCTTCTACTATTTCTTCTTCTTCTTTTGTCTTTAATGGTGAATCGCTTCCACTTGGAGCATATATCACCACCTACTGTTGATTTATTAAATGTTCATATTAAATGCTTGTCCTCAGAGCAGTGTTTTTGAGGAACTTGAAGATCAGCTTGTTTACTTCATTTCTTGATTTACTTTCGTATATTGACTTGAAATCCATGTTGTTTGACATCAACAAAAAAATAAGACAGACAACTACAAAAAGCACCACACATGATGGTTACATGTTATTATTTAGGGCTGCCTGTATGGATCAGGTTTTTGCCAAAGCGAGCCCTTTTACTAGAATAATAATATGTTATGTATTATATCAACCGTATTGGTACAATGAGCGACATCTAGTGACGGATTGTGGACCATTGATTTGATTTTTCTCATGGCAGTTAGACTCTAGAGACAAACCAGGGGACTTTATTTTAATTTTTAATCTGTGTCTGTCCATTTGGTGTAGTATTTGATCCAGTATTACATTTGGTTTATATATTAGTCACTTTCTTATGAAATGCCAGGTTTTAGGCCTTGATTTGAACATTCAATCCTGAAAATAAAAAATCAACCAGATTAATGTTTCTTTAATCCTGACCTGACTAGAGGTAAGTAAATCTGTATAGGACGACGAGTTAAGGGATAGAGGAGAAAAGGTTATGGTATAATTACAGAGCCTGTCCATTTATAAATTGAGGAAATCAATTTTAGTCTGTTAACCAAAGTACAGCCATCTATCTATCAACTATCTACTATCTATTATGAAAGATCAGAGGAAAAGAACAGAACGAGAGGGGTAAATCCAGAACAAAAATAAAGAAGCAAAGAGATTGTAGAGCAGTGAGAAGGAAAAAAGCTCGGTGTGTCAATTCATTACATTGCCAGTGTTTTTCGTTGTTGTGAAAAAAAAAATCGCACCCTCTGATTTTTTAACAGCCCCCTCAGTCATTTCATCCTGGAGCCGGGCCTGGTTCACACCGACCCAAATGAACCGCACCAAGCTGCTAAACGCACCAGGGTTCGATTCAACCGGACTATACAAGGCAGGTGTGAACACACCCTAAGTATAATTATTTGACATTTCAATCAAGAAGCCCCCGTTAGGTTAGTTAATTCACGACAAAGATTAAACATCAACAGGTGATATGTTCGGCATACAAAGATTAGTTCTGGTTTACACATGGACTATGATAAAATAGGTCAACATTAAAATATATTATTAAAAAAAAGACAACAGCTGAGCTACACCATTATTGTTTACAGTCAGAAGGCAAGGAAATCTAAAATAAAAATGTCTAACCATCCTTTAATTCACTGTTTCCCCTCCCTCGATCTTGTACCATATTGACAGCGCCACAGTGCAGAAACAGTACGGCACACTAACAATGGCATATGTGATTTTATTAAGGGCAGCTCATCTTCACATGACTCACCATGATGTCAACCTCATGGATTCATCTAGAACAGAGACAGCCCTGAAGTATTGTACCAACTACATGCATGTTTAGATGTATGGTCACTGTGATAGGTCAGCATTAAATAAACGTAGGGGAAAAGTGTTGCATGAGAGCTTTTTTTTTTCAGTTAAGAGCTACATTTAAAATCAACTTTTCCATCATGTTCTCTGTTAGGAATATGACCAACTGTAATAGATACTGATCACCAATATTTCCCAGTTGGTTAAAGCATCTCTAACGTAAACTGGCATATGAAGAAATGTTTCACCGTAAGGTGGAAAGACACTCATACAAGTTCAAATTAAATTCAGGTTGACTCTAAAGGGTGCCGTTACTTGTGCTGGTTGGAAGCTCTGACACTTGAGTCTGCTGCAGAACAGCTTTGCATTCCTAACATGACTTCAGATTAGGTAAGTGATTTTTACGTGTTGATGTGCACATACATTTCACAAATGCCAAAACAACTTTTGTTAGAGAATTTCCTGGGAGTAACCCTGCGCTCTCAGTACAGTAATTATGTGACGATATTTGTTTTAAAAGACTTGAGGCCAAAACTATTATGTGTCTATCCACTGAGCAGTGGCGAACCGTGTCTACCACAACTGGACCTTCTGTAGACGCTAGGGGTGTAACGGTACACGTACCCATACCGAAATTATTCGGTACGGGCCCTTCGGTTCGGTACAGGTGTGTACCGAAGTGTACCGAACGAATATAACGTTAAACGTAAAAAATTGAGAACGTGAACAACTTTTTGGAAGTAATCTCAGGTCGCAGCATTCAGAGTAATTTGCTCACATTGGGTTCAACGCGTCATAGAGCGAGCAAGTCATTTCATTGGATGAGAGGCATACTATGAGAGCTGGTCAGAGGGATGCGTTCATATGTAGTCAGTAATTTGAGGAACTGTCGAAAATGAATGGCGAACGTAGATAAAGTTGAGCTCGAAAATCCTCCAGCATCATTGAAGTCTCCGGTTTGGGAACATTTTGGTTTCGCAGTTACGTACAAGGATGACGGACAAAGACAGGTGGACCGAACCAAAGCTGTTTGTCGGCATTATTCAACTAAAATTGGTTACGCGGCTGGCAATACACCAAACTTGCACACTCTTGAAAAGGCATCACCCGCACGTGAATATCACCGATACCAAAAGAAAAAAGACTGAAGTGCAAACCCAACTCCCACTAGCATTTAAGCCTCCACCACTCGCAAAAAGTTCAGACCGAGCCAAAGCTATTACAAACGCCAAATATCCTTATGTTGCCATGTTAGCAAAGCGCTACCTGGCTGTATCTGCTACCTCTGTCCCTAGAGAGAGGGTGTTCTCCACAGCAGGAGACATTGTTAGTGCCAGCAGATCTGCCCTTTCGGCAAGCAATGTGGACAAGTTAATTTTTCTTTAAAAAAACATGAAAATACAATGACAAGCAAGTCATAATGTCAAACTGGCTGCTTAGGTGCTAGTACAGTACAGTTCAAATACAGATTATTTCAGTTCATCGAAATGCTGCACCTTAATGTTCATTTTATTATATTTTGTATTTATTTGAGTGAATATTCAGTTTAATAATAATTAAAAACCCAAAACTAATAGTTTATGTTTTGTGAGTACTAGTACAGTAAAGTTCAAATACAGATTATATCAGTTCATCGAAATGCTGCACCTTAATGTTTATTTTATTATATTTTGTATTTATTTGAGTGAATACATTATTCACAGTTTAATAATAATAAAAAAAATATATATATGTTTTGTTTTGTGAAAAAAAAATTCTGCTGTACCGAAAACATACCGAACCGAACCGTGACCAAAAAACCGAGGTACGTACCGAACCGAAATGTTTGTGAACCGTTACACCCCTAGTAGACGCACGCACACCCCCCACCGCCGCCACCCCTCCGCGGCATTATAATGTCCGTCTTTTCACTGAATTGTCGTCTTGAAAAGGGTACTCACAACAATTCCGCAACAACTTCATCTTCATCTGTTGCACTTGTCATTTCAACGTTAAAAACAATAAAATGGCATGAATTGCTTCGTCACATTCATCTAGATCCTCTGTCTCGAGCCAGTTAACTAGCGGGCCTTCTAGAATACCCTGGAACCGAGGGAAACTCTGAAAGAATACGCCCATTGGCTACAAATCAATATATGATTGGTTGATCAAACTGTCAGTCCAAACGTACGCTCTCATTCAGTGCAACGGCCAGGGCATTCGATCAAGGATGTAGAATACCTTGGTTGAAGGATATTCTACCCAGAGACCCAGAACAAGATCTGATTGGTTGCTTTCTTTTCTAACACAAAACCACTGAAATGCGTAGCGCATGGTCCGAGAAGGACAAACAAATCAACGTAACACTGTAATATTACAGATCAACAACACAGATACGATTCTCATTTATTCATTTTATATACATTTTATTTATATAATTAAATCGATTTTTTGTTTGTTTTATCTGAGTGTTCCAGGGTATTCTCTGAATACCTTGAAGGCCCTGACGGTTCGCCACTGCCACTGAGTAATAACCCCGACCTGAGGAGAGGAACAGGTATTTCTGGGAATGAAGTAGGGCTGAACAATTAATCGATTTTCAATCAAAATCGCGATTTTTAATGATGCAATTATCAAATCGCAAAGCCTGCGAAAACCTTTTTTTTTCCTTGTGTGTCAGTCATCCACACCAATCAGAAGTGCTGTGCTCCACATGTATCAGTCATTGTTAACCAATCAGAAGTGGCCCATGATAGTAGGTGATAGACAGATTGATCCAATCACCTGCCAAGTATTTTTGAAATACTTTCCCAAATGGCTTCCAATGGAGCTTTCTTTTAGTAATGCTCCATCACATGTTTTACATCCATTACAGGGTGAGTCTTAAACTGAAGCTTGACTTTAAAATATATCTATACCGGATCTCTTCTCTGGTAAACAAAAACACCCTGAAAACTCTGGCAGGAGCACTCATTCAAGGGTACTATGACTATGCTTGCACGTCATGGTACCATAGCACCTCCAAGGCGCTAAAAATAAAACATCGCAAAATAAACTGGTCAGACTACTGCTTGACCTTTCATCTAGAACCCACCTCACCTCTGCCCACTTTGACAACCTAGGATGGCTTAGAGTAGACGACAGAGTACAGCTACTTGCAATGGGCCTGGTCTACAAGATCCACTACACCTCTATGGTACCAATGTACATGTCAAAATTCTTCCCAAAGGTCAAGGAATACCATGATCATAACACCAGAGGGAGCTCCACAAATCATGTGAAACCCAGATTTGGCACAAAAAAGGGGGAATACACGTTTCGCAATTATGCCACATCAAGGTGGAACGCTCTTCCCACAACTGTAAAGGAAAGTAAAACTATACTTACCTTCAAAACCTCTCTTAAAGAGCACCTTCGGGGGAGAGCATTGCAAAACTGGCCCCGGTAATGGTACAAATCTCAACCTGTCGTTCAATGGACAGCTTCCCCCCCCCATCTATACTCGCATTTTAGACTCTGTTACTAACTGTATATCTGTAGACTTGGTATGTCTTAAATGTCCGGTTAGGATGTATTAGAACGAAATCTAAAATGAAAATTGTAAACAAGCAATCTGTATGTAAAAAACCACCTGTATGTAAATTGTAAATAAGCCATCTGTATGTCTTATATGTCTTAAATGACATGATGAATTGGAAATGGGGGACCCTGATGTAAACAAGACGAAAGTCTTTCTCTGGTCTGCATCCCCTTAACAATTGTATGTTTTGAGCTGTACTGTACCCAATATACAAGCTGTTAATAAACTTTTCAATCAATCAATCAATCAATCAAAAGCAACCCAACGGAGGTTTCATGTAAGTTTAGTTATTTCACTTGTAACTCGGGCTGCGGGGGTGCTAGAGACGGGAACACATTGATACGACCTTCCTAGCCGGAGATATGTCCGCATTTTACAATAAACTTCCGTTGGGTCGCTTAAAAACAAATATCGCAAATCGAATCGCAATCGCAATATCTGTCAGAAAAATCGCAATTCGATTATTTCCCCAAATCGTGCAGCCCTAGAATGAAGCAGTTAATTAGTTGGGAACTACCTGGTAGCTTTTGGATCTCCATGGACAATGGTTTAAGACTAATAGAGGAAAGAAGAGATTGGCTAGTGGAGACTAAAATAGGACAAGTGCTTAAGGGAGAAATACCAGAGCTAAACAGTAACAGTTTTCGGGCTGGCATTAGAAACCATTTCAGGAAATTAGCAACCAACTCTTAGCTCAAACATAACTTACATTTATATTGCTTATTTCAGTTGAATGTTCTGGCTTCAGTAAATGACAATCAATGCTATTAACTAAACCCAGACTCAAGGGGCCTGATCCACAAATATGGTGTACATAATATCATTTTAAGAGACAGGCCCCCCTTAAATCTAGAAGATGAACTGTTGTAGAAAGCAGTAGTTACATATGAGTTGAGAAATGGAGGTCATACTTTCCAGTAAACTACTTTGCTTTACCATTTGTTTGGAATGATAACATCCAGTGTCATAGAGCACGTGGTTAAAAAGCCACAAGAGAATCAGTACTTTATCAAACTCCCACTGCAGCAGTTACAGCGTCAGCATTCTAGAGTTGCAGACTGGTGAATGAAACACTTCGAGAACAGAGATTAGCATGTAATGGATGTAGCATTAATGAGGGCACCGCTTGGCTCCAAGTAAGCTTGTTAATGACTTTCTCTGCACAGAGTTTTTATACACAGGACGGTAGCTAAATTACAGAATAAAGATGCAACATATAACATGGGAGTAATTGAAATATCCCCCAAACAGTTGAAACCACCTGCCGCACGCCAGTTGCTGGCAGATTAACCGACCAACATTAGCTTGTTAGCTAACTATGTTTAGCATGAGTGACCTGTCCTGCCTTGGACGACAGACCATGGTATGAAAGGGAAGTACTTGGTACACTTTGACAATATGTATCACCACACTGAGTGCATTCATCAATTAACACTTTTACTGGCATGCTATAGATATCTTTCTTAAGAACACAAGTTGTACTTGAGTATTTGTTCACCTAGCATAGCATTTAACGGTGCTAGTGTTTTTTTAAATTACCGTTATCTGGGCGTTTATTCTTAGCTGACTTTGACGTCTCTGCTCCTCCGCTATGGCAAGCTCTATTTTGTCAAGCTGGTCCCGGACAATCTCCCGTTGGTGGAAGTGGAACGCTGGATGGAGAGAGGCCATGGCAAAAAGCAGCGCCAACTGCTCCAGAGGTCCTGCCGCTGGTTCATTAGTGGAGAAGCCGCAGGTCTCTTCTGACCGCCCGTACACATTCCCGTCCTGACACGGTGGATGGAACGAGTGGTGGTTAGGGTCGGAGAATGAAGGGAGGGAGTAGTCATAATTTTTGTAGAACAGGGCCGGATCTACATGGCTCAGTATCCGAAAGAGTATTCCAGCGCATTCCCTGCTGTCAGACCCGAGGAGGGAAAGGCAGACTAGGAGTTTGGACCTAACGACTGGATCTATAACGTCTGTTAAAACTCCTAAATCGCTTGGACTATTAGCACGAAACTCAAAGTCTCTTAAAACATGATAGTCTTTCTTTGCAAGATCCTCTAAGTAAGATCCCAAAAAGCGGAGCTCCAGGGGTTGGCACATATGTAGCAGTCCGCACATGAACTCGATCCGCTTAGCAGGGTTAAGATGTAGGCCAAACCACTCAAAAACAGTCTCCTTGTCCAGCTGGAATGGATACACGCTAGGTCTGGGCGAATCCTCCAGACGGCCGGACACCGAAGAAGGAGGTACCGCCCTGGGAATATGTTGGTGCTCCGATAGATCCAATGAATCGTCCTCGGCAGTTTCGTCGCCTCCTTCCTCGCCCGTTTTCATCGGTAGCTTCATTTTCAGCATTATCAGCGCAGCGAGAGAGGCTTCAAACTGTAAATAACGGACCAATATACATAACGGACGACTTACGACGTTTTGTAATGCAGAAAAGAGAGGTGGACTGTCAGTGTTTTTACTATTAGCTAATCATCTGACGCGGCGATAGTACTGTAGCTTTTTCCAACGTTACATTCTTCTTCTAATGCTAATTTCCGGTAGTACTGCTATGTACCGTTAGCACGTTGCTGCCACCTCAAGGCTGTTGGCGGACTTGTTCTAACTGAAGGCTGAATGAATACAATTCTGAATGTTGTGAAAATTGTTTGTGAATGCAGATCGGCAAAAAATAAACAAAAAACAAATATGTCTTCATCCAGAAGTAATGCAGGACTTGTCATTTGATATTGACTTGAGTGTAGGGAAATTCAAACAGCACATACATATGTTTGCTTCTTGTATTTTTAAAGTTAATAGTGAAAAGAGTAAAAAAAGACTGGGCGAACATATTGATTTACCGAGCCAACACCGCCCTCTAGAGGAAAAATGGAACCCTTACAAATAAAAGGACAGTCGAATGGGTAAATGTGGCTGCTTGATACTGTACAGCTTCATGTCCTCTGGGTAGATTTATAGGTGAGTGAAAATGGCTACTGGAGTGCTTGTAGTCTGGATCTGATTGGGCAAAGAACACAATTTCAATTTCCTGAAGCTCGACAAAAAAATACTGAGTCAGATATAAAGAGATAGGAAAAGGCACATGGTCAAGATAAAAACACACTTGAACTGACCCCGTGGAAAGTAAATAAGCTGTTATAAACCAGTATAAGCTGGAAAAAACAAGTTGTCGTTTGCTGATTGATTCTGTCTAACCCTGTAACTCCGTTTAGTAATTGCTAAAAGAGGCAGCCTTTTTAAACACTCCTCATAAACAAAGTAATATATGTTTAATCTATTCTTGTCAACTAATATTTGCACCAATCCAGAGCTTTCTTTTATTCATTTCAGCTGAATTCCTGCATGAAAAACATTCCTCCTCGCTTATTACAGCTTTCTCTGCGTGTTGTCCAGCCTGATGTGGTCGGTTTGGTTAGGAAGGGAAGGCACATATTTAGAAAAACTAAATTCTTTGCTAGGTTTTTGCCTTCTTTCTTTTATTTATTTATTTACAGAGCTCAGGGCAGTCCCTGGCAAGAGTAACACTTTAAACTACCACTGAGGCAAAAGGAAGCCTGATCATAAGGCTCTCTGAGAAAAACTTAACTGTGCTGCTCCAACAGGGGGCAACAGCAGTTCAGAGTTCTTTATCCTTTTATGAACACATTGTTTGTCAGTGAGTACAGGCAACTGGATTGTAGTGAAAACTGTACTTATTGGAGGTACTTCAACTTAACATGATGATTTCGATGTTATGCTACTCAATACTTCAAGTTCAGAGGACATTTATTTTCACAGTTGTTATGATGCATTGTTATAAAGTATTCAACAGTATGGACAATAGTTTCAAACTAGCTCAACTTCAACCAACTAAAATAGTTCAATATTACAGACACATTAATGCATCACTAATAATCTTATACTCTTATTGCATAACTAGTCATGGTGTAACTTTTGATGTAGGCTATGCTGGTAGTTTCCTTATGTGTTAGTGTTTTAGTAATATGGCTTTTTAAATGTTGCGTATGGTAGTATGGTAGTGCTATTTTTAATCTGAATACTTCCTTCACGAAAGTTTTTTAAGTGTTGGCTTTTATGCAACACATTTCTTTATTATGCAGGAAAAGGACAATTTATTTGTTCATGCATAACTGAGTTTAATAGCGATGATTTGTAACAAGCCAGGATGTTTCATTTCTTCAAAGCTTGCTCTAGTCAAACTCAAGGCCCGGGGGCCAAATCAAATGGTGGATTTAATTTCGGCCCGCAGGATAATTTCTAATTACTATTAGATCTGGCCCGCCGGTATATTGCATGCACACCTTCACTCAATCCTGAGGATTTCCTCAGCTCAGAGCCTGACCCCAAACATGATACACCAAAACTAACATTGTGTAAGTCCGTCATTAATGTGGTCACAAATACAGACTTCCAGTAATACTCAAAACGGCTGCAGTTTGTCAGTAAATGATACTCAAAAAGACTTAAATAGTGCATGTGTTGGTTGGGACTATTTTCATTGGTGGATTAATGCACCAATGAAAATAGTGTATATTTAGAAAAGCAGGACAGTGTGTGGGATTGAATCAAAGGTGCATGCTAATAACGGCACTAACAATGTTTCGCTCCTTAGATATTGTTCAAGGTCTGGAGACGGAAATATTGTTATTAATGTGATTGACAGCATGCAGGAACAATGGAGCTCTAGCACAGAGGAAAGATATAACAGGCTTTGGAAACACACACAATGCTTGTCAGTAAGACACATACATTTTTGGTTTGGGTCTTTTCATTGCACATTTTTGGAAAATAACCCCAATATCCCTTAAGCCCTTTACAGTTTACTCCATCAATGAAGTCACTTTTGTGGCCGCTTCTTTCCTTTGAAGACAGAGATTTGTTATTTTGGATTCAAAATAAATTAATGCACTGAACGTCTATTTTCAGCAATGTATACTGATTGTAGTATGAAGTCATTTTTGATATTTTTGAATCAGTAGGGGCTTCCTTACAGGAAATCACAGATGTCTAACATGTGGTACAGTTGCGATATCATCTCTTACCACAGAGTTTCTTTAACCTGTTATTTAATTAAACTCCTGCACCGCTGCCATAAAAACATGCTTGCTGTTAAACCACAGCCGTGCGCAGTTACTACTAGTTACTGATCCTGGTTTCAACTAAATTAAGAGCATGCTGTAGAATTAGCTGGATTAGTTGACCATATTTAAGTCATAAAACTCTGTTTAATACAAAATGAATTGCAGATGTTAGCAGTGATTTCATATGATTAAAAAATTAGACACATAAACAAGAATTAATTTGCAACCTTCTGTCAGTCCACACGTTGGATGTGTGTGTGTGTGTGTGTGTGTGTGTGTGTGTGTGTGTGTGTGTGTGTCAATCCACATTGGTCTCCGTTGTGTCCCATTTTGTGGTGAAGCTACAGCCACGATTTATAAAGTCTGTCCTGACACTCCCACCACTCCCTCTGCCAACCAGAGGGAGGACTGTCACTACCACTTCAGGACTTCACTCTCTTCACTTTCTCCGAGCAGAGTGGCATTCATCATTGCCTCATAGCAGCTGAAAGAGAAAGGTAAGGCCCTATTATTACTTGTTTTACTATGTGTACTGTTATGTAAAGGGACTCAGCTTAACCCAATCAAAGTGATGTTCATACAGATAACTTATCTCTGTTCCTGTTGTTGCTTTTAACTTTGGTTGTTGTTCCATTTATTTTACAGCTATATAGATAAATACGCATGCATTATTACTGTTTTTAGTAATTGTTCCTAACTTGATGTAACCATGGCATGGGTTTGGTTTGGCCACAAGTGATTGGCCATCGGGACCAAGCTTGTCTTCTACAAGCTAAATATATAGTATAACTGCATACATAAACCTCTTTGATTATGGGTCAGCGAGTAAGCGCAGTCTCTCCCTGTGTGTCTCTTGGCATTTCAAAGTTATGCTGTTAGTTAAGTCTGTAGTCTAAAATAACTTGGTCTTCCATCCTAATTACTGTACAGTATGTTCAACTTCTGAATGAGTTGGAAACAACGGAGTGCTTAAGATAGTCAGAGGATATGGCTATTTTCATTTTGGGGCATCATCATGCAAAGATCCATTTATTGCTGAGTTTATCGAAACTATAGTCTTCAGAAGGAGTCACCAATTATCTGCTATCAAGAGGTTTCCCATGACAGCTGTATTTTGTTTAATGATTATGTTTGCTTTGAATAAGAGTTGTTCATGCCATTGGAAAAGCAATATATGTAAACAGAAAAAACAATTAACACAATCTTGTTGTTCTTCAAAGTTACATAACAATTCAATAGCAATAAAATATACATTTTTGCTATTCAAACACAGACTGTTCTGCTATGACTAGTGACTTATCGTGGTTAATTGAGGTATACTGTGTCGATACAAAGGACCATATCATTGTTTCTGATAGCCCTATTTGAGACCAGATACAACAATACAATGTTTACCCTAACATATTATTATTTTACTATATCCGTGAGATCACGAAAATACCATTTGAAGAACAATTTGTTGCTTCATTACATGTGAATGTTCCACTTGATTTTTCACCATAACATCTGCGCAAAAGGCTATGTGACCAAAACCCACAGTCAAACAAAGTGGTGGACCTACACGTGGCTATGTTTTTGCTTGATTTAAACCCACGTCAAAGTTTGGATCCAAATGTAGAGTAAATTCTAACAAAATCTCCAGAAATGAAGACCTGAGCACATTGGCTGTTTACTTTCTACTCAAGTGCCATTTAATCATTGCATAAGATTATGTCAGAACAAGGTAAAATAATGGTCACAATAACTTTTTCCCATCAGCAAAATGTAAACGTATTTTAGCTTTTTGGTGCTTTTTATGCACAAATTAGAAAACATAAAAACAGGTTAATGGAATAACACCTAATGTCAACCATTTTCCAAATGTAATTTCTGAATCTTTAAGCGTTTTTATTCATATTTCTCAGTCATTGAGGTCTTTCCTTTTCACTATGGAATAATGCCTAAAATCATCACAGAGAATCTCACATCCACATTTTTTCCTTGTTAAAAAAACGTTAAAATGCCTGATTATGCAGCGATAATGAACATGACAATAACATTCAGGTAATGGGTTGTTTTTATGTATGTTTCAAGTCAATACAAATATAGATTTCCATATCTAAGGAGACCCTATTATAAATATATGTATATTTGTATATGCTGGTGTTAGTATTGCTCTCTGCAGTCTTCTTTTTTTTAATAAACCAACCATAGGCGCTAAGCAAACCCAGCAACATCTGTGTACAAGGAATGTTCTGTGATTATAAAGACGGCAGGGCTGGTTGATGTGGTTCACTGAACTTCTGGTTTGCTAAATCTAGAGTGAGGTTTGGAAGAATTCATGTTCACTACCCACCTATCCACACTGTGTGTTTGTAATGACGTGTGCTATAACATGAAAGAGTGAGGCACTGAAGAGAGGATGTATAGATGGATCCACGTAAGAGAGGAATACGGATGAGATACTTTT